AAAGGTTAAAACAAACAGCACCACGAACATAAAATCGTCCTGGTTGTGGTCGAATTTATGTAGTATAAGCATAACGGAGCAGATTAAGATTTAAACATATGCTAATGAAGAGTAAAATACAAACACAAGCAATTTAAGTTTTTTAATTATAAGTGAGATACTGTTGACTGTAAAAGCTTACATAAAGCTGTTTCTTTCATGTAAAATATTCAAGACTATCAAAAAACAATCACTGAGTATCAAAAGTAATGCTATCGAACATGACAACAACATACAATAATATAATAAAATAACCAGAAATTTGTAATAAATCCAATTTTTTCAAAAATTTAACAACAATCAGGAGGTGCAAATTATAACAAGTTTAAAAACTTTGAAAATTTACACAAATTGCAAAAAAAAGAATATAAATAATATTCTTGATTAATAACAGTTGAATAACGTGCTTGCCATAGAATAATTAAACAAGCTCTTAGTTGAGGATAAAAACTAATGCATAAAACTCATTAATGATCATGCAAATTTCATATTTCTCCCAGCTGGTCAAAGATTGCATTTTCAAAATATGCGCGCATTCATCCAAATTTTGTGCTAGCTCCTCAGCTATTTTCTTTTTCTCAGCATAACACTTCGATTATTCCAAACATCGGTAAATATAATGGTACCAACAAATACTAATGCTGTTCCTAACCAGTGCGCAAATGTGAAAGGATTTTTGAACCATAATATCGAAATTAGAAGTGAAAGAAACTTTCGTAAAGTTACAACCATTGTTACTGTTAATGAATCAACGGTAGCATTGAGCTGGTACACGAAAGAAATGCAAATCCACCTAAAAGAAAATAATGGGTTGAAATTTAAAGTAATCTTTTAAAAGATGTTATCAAATATGAAAAAATCCGATCACTGCAAAATGAATTTCACTGCCATCATCAAATACTAGAGCTTTTATTGCATACTTGAGCTGAATGAAAACATGTCATGACTTCTTAATTCGAGATAAAGATAATGTTCGAGGTGGAAAAATATTAAGACCAGGACTAAACTGTTGTTACATTATCACAATGCTAATTTTAAGAAATCATACTGTGAAATACAGGTGGCAATGAGATAAAGCCACATGTGAGGTATGCGAAAACCAAGAATATCAACCGGATAACTGAGCGAAAAGGCAGTAGCTGACTTATAAATATTTTCACCCATAAGTGCGAAAAATGGCAAAGAAGCAGCATGCTGCAAAAAATTAATATAGAAATAAGTAGATTCAGTGCAGACCTAGTTTTATTTACCATTTTTTTTCAAGTTATCAAACATTACAATTTTTTCATAAATATCTTGCTTAAATCTAGCAAAATCGTAAACTTACAACCACAAATACAGCTTCTTTGGTATGTTTCCCGTATGTTAGATACAATGTTTCTTGACAGATTGCTAAATAAGCAGACGCTAATAATGCAATAATAAGCATTGCCATGCCTAAAATAATATGAGTGAAGACAAAAAAGGAACTAAACTATTAATAATGCGAAGCACTTACTGTACATTACAAGAGTTTGCTCTTGAAAATTAATTAAATTCATCCGTGATAAAAATTAACAATTCCAAAAAGTTTACCGATCAACCATTCTTGATAATGTTTTTTGAACTCTTCGACACTTTTAAATGAGTCCGACTTCTGAAACTTTCTTTTACAATA